AAACCAGTGAGTAGCCGTAGGCCGCCGAGCTTCTCGCGGAACTGGTTAAGCCCTCAATGCTTTCTCTCGGTGTTCCCTGCACATAGTTCGGCCGTGTTAAGCAGGCCAAGGACACCTCGAGAGTTTTTCTTTTTCTGTGCATAGTTAATACCTTCCGGAACTTCGGTTCCGAAGAGCCTAACCTGGCTAGCGACGCAGCCCGCTTTCGAGTGATATATGTGACCTTGGCTCAAGGTCTCGGCTCAACCCCGGTGGGGTGCACAGGTAGCAGAGCGGTAGCTGTGTGAACCAGCCTCGAGTCCCCTAACTGTTTTGGGTACCAGGCCTGCTTTTTCACAGCCTTCATTTTAGCCATGTCCAGAGCACCTGTGCAGTCGAGACCCTCACTGCCAACAAGTGACGGGTTGGAGTCTTCTCACCCAACTTGCGATGCAGAGAGCCAGAAGGAAGGCACGGCCCGACTGGAGGGCGAAGCAGCCCGGCTTGGGGAACTCTTCCCTTATGCGAGTCCTCTTACAGCCGGCTGTGGAGTTTCTCCAGCCTTGGAAGACCAGGTAAGATGCTCGAGCAGCCTGGCAAATCCAGAGCGAACTTGGGCCCATAGAGCCAATTGTGGTCCCAGCCAAAGCAGGACTTTCCACCAAGCACTCTGTTTTCGCTGGCATCACAAGGGCCGGAAAGAGTGGCTGCTCCTCTCCGAGGACAGCAGCGTGTATTTTGTTCGCACCAGCAAATCCGGCAAAACAGTCCAAGCCGGACCCTGTGGGCAATGGAGATGCATGGAAGACCCAGCAGAGCTCCACGGGGGAACGGGAGGCGACCCGCCCGTGCAGTGGCTTCGCCTTTTGAACTTCAATTGCACTGGCTGTGGTAACATTCCAACCCATAACCTCAACTTCTTGCCCGGTCCTGGGAAAAGGCAACCAGCGATCTTGCATGGAGAGGATGGAAGACGCATCGAGCTCTACTGTGCCCTTTGTCTAGAAAGCTTCCTAGCGTGCACGTGGAGCTGGCCGAGTTTCGACCAAGCAGTTAGGAGACCGGTGTTTCTGGACTACGCTTCCCTTGCTGACTTGCGTCAGTTAGGTCACCAAGGTACGGAGCCCGTAGAACCTTTGCTGGCGCCGCTGTCTTCTGCAGCCAACGCACATGGCTGGACCTTCCTTGAGGAAGGGTGTTCTCAGGATCTAGACTCCCCAGAAGAAGTAGGCAACAGTGATTGGCTAGTGTGTGGCTTTGAAGACTTGGAAGACGTCCCCTGGGAGGTCTGACCTAATCCGGCCCCAACCCACCCAAATTGCAGGAGCCATGCCCTGCCAGAATCAAGGGTGAGATGCTCACCCTCCGGAATCCCTTTGTCACGGGTGAAGCTTCTCCCCGTCCAATCAGCGACGGTCCTGTGAGTCCGTTCCCAAACTGAGAGTGCCATAGGGCACCACGGAGAATTTTGCATAGAATTGGATCATTTAATGTTCGCATAAGGTTGCAGGTTGTAAGAATGCAAGCAGAAGTGCTCAGTCCCGGCACGTACTCAGATCCATCCGTCGGAATATTTTCGCAGTTGTTCCGATGGACACCCTGCAGGACAGGTCGCCTCGATGCGGCTTTTGTTCAGCCTGACACCGGTTCGGCCCTTTGCTCGGTCTGTGCAGCAGACCGCTGGACCGGGTTTTCGGGCTCAGGTGCTTGTGGGTCTTCCACAGGCCCAACACGGGGTTCTCACAAACACAGCGCACGAAAGGATAACGTTAGAACCGCACCCTGAAGATCCTCACTGGTTGATGAGGGGAGGGAGGGCGCTGAGGGGACTGGAATGGACAGGGAGACGCCGGACGAGGTTCCGGTAGCTGAGAACAAGCGGGTCTCCCACCCGATTGAGGTTTTAGGGCTTGCCGCCACTCACCCAGTTTGGGGTTACCCGTGTTTGGCCTGTCGAGGATTTCCTTTGAGTTTCCTGCAGGGTGCTGTTGTTTCTCTCCGGGTGGTGCAAGCCCATCTTGGAGGAAGCCTAGCGGCAGGCGTTGTTGTTAGGGACCAATGCTTGGCTGACGGACAGCCAGAGGCACCAGGTTGTGGAGGTTAAAGGCTGTGGCTCGGTGCCTGAAAGCCTGCCCAACTGAGCTGCCCAAATCAACCAAGCCCTCCCTGCGTGCAAGTGGTATGGGCTCCTTGGAGCCGCTGAGGTAAACCAGTTAGTAAGAGCGAGAAAGCTGGTTCCCCTCCCTGGTGAGTAAGTGCGAGAAAGCCAGGTCAGCAAACGGGGCTAACAGGAGCTCAGTGCTGCTGCGGCATGAGTTCCTGGGGCCTAGGTTAGTAAGGGCGAGAAAGCCTAGGCCTGTGCCGGAGGTTGGCGACTTTGCCAAGCCACTTGCGTTCAGTTTAGTACAGGCATTGCCCATGTATCGGTTCCAGACCTTCTGCCTTTTCTGTGTGAGCCGGAAGTGGGTGAGTTTCTCCCCTGTACTGGCAGGGCTGATAGGGTAGGCAGTACAGACCAGGCAGTTCAACCTGCAGAACATTTTGCCTAGGGCTTTGTACAGTGCCAAACCAGTGAGTAGCCGTAGGCCGCCGAGCTTCTCGCGGATCTGGTTAGGCCCTTTTTCTTCTCTCGGTGCTCCCTGCACATAGTACGGCCGTGTCAAGCAGGCCAAGGACACCTCGAGAGTCCTTTTCCGTGCATAGTTAATACCTACCGGAACTCCGGTTCCGAAGAGCCTAACCTGGCTAGCGACTCAGCCCGCTTTCGAGTGATATATGTGACCCTCCTAGTTTCCCAGTTGACACGTGATGTGCACTTGAGTTGTCTGCGATGAGTGTGAAGCATAGGCACGAGGACATGTCAGGCAGTGCAGATTTCTTTTGGCTTGGTGAGACCTTGTTTTGAGTGGGAAGAACCGTTTTCTGTTCGTTTTCTCGAAACTCGTTTGTCGGAACTCCTTTCCTGTTTGTGACCTGGTATTTGGTGACCAGAAGTGACTCAAGCCAGTTTAGGTCTGCACAGAGCTCAGCAGAGCACCTAAGAGGTGCTAGGAACCTACCCACAGTGTTTAGGAGTAGAAGTTCCATGGCTGAGTGTTTTCACCTGAAGTACCTTTGTTTTCCCATGTCTGGCAGACAGTGTTTGAAGCTGGAGAGCCGTGCTCGCTTTGGCTCAAGACGAGCGGAGCTCGAGAAGCTGTGAACAGCGCAGTGAAAAGAGTCCGCACTTCGTGCTGTGAGGGTTGAGTGTAGTCTTGACCTGAGGTCCCTTAGGCCCCCGTAGCTGTGCCACGAGTTTCAACGTTCGAGCCTCGCTCGAACTAATCGGGGGCCTCCAACTCACTGATCGCGCTTGGCAGCAGGCGACCTTGAGAGTTGCTGCCGGCGGTTTGGGGCTGCGCAGCGCGGCCAAACACGCCCCCGCAGCATACATTGCCTCCGCCTCCTCGCGGAAGCTTGTGCTGCGCTGTCGCATCAGTACGTTTTGGACCTCGCCCACCCGGCAGCCCAATACAATGCGACGGTGGCCCCTGATTCTGCACTCCACCCTCAGCCTGTGCCTGTTAGGCAGCAAGAGTTTCAAGCGCCATTGATGCCGCTGAACGGCAGGCCTTGATTGCCTCTAGCGCGGGCGAGGCTGAGCGGTGCGCACTTGCAGTTGCTGCCTGCTAGCCCGCTCAGCCGAAGCCCTCGGTCTGGCCCTTGAGCCGGCTTTCTTCCACGTTTGCTCCACCTCCGCCTTCGCCTTCCCGTTGCACCGTCCGAGGGCTACTGCCCGTTCTGCGATGGAGTGGCTGACCGGTTTGGAGACCACGCCCGCGTGTGCCCATGTGGGGGAGACCGCTGCAAGCGCCGCAACCGGCTCCGCGCGGTTCTCGCCGAGCGTTGAAAAGCCAAACCTCCTCCCCGCCCGCCCTGCTGAACTTGGAGCCTGTGAGGCAGGCGCAGTTGGGGAGTTCGTCGGGGGTGGCCGCCGACCAGCCGATGTCTTTGTGCCTCATTGGGGGTTGCACGGGCCTGCAGCGTTCGAGCTTGCCGTCACGAGCGGCTTGCGATGTGGGGCAGCTGCCGCCTCTGCTGCAGATGGCTCTCACACTTGTGCGGCTTACGAGGAACGCAAGCGTTCCCATCTTAACACGGCAGCCCTCTGCCGAGACCAGGGGCTGCAGTTCCTCCCCCTCATTGCGGAATCATCCTGTGGTGGCTGGGGACGTGAAGCAATCAAAGTCTGGCGCACACTCGGGGCGCTCCTGGCCGCTAAGTCCGGTGATGGATCGGGCGCGGCCACCGAACAGCTTTTGCAGTGCCTCAGCGTCACGCTCCAGCGTGAGAACGCCCGCGCTGTCTTGCGCCGCCTGCCCGACGGCGCGCAGTCCGCTTCCACTCCGCTGCAAAACCCGTGATCCCGAATGCTCCCAAGCTGGGCGCCCGTGACAGAGCAGACCTCTGCCCTTGCTTATCTTGCTTGCCCTTTGTGCCCGGCCTGCCAGGCCCTTTTCCCACCTGACCTCTGCTTGGGCTCGTCGAACTTCCTCTGGCCTCCGCTTGTGGGTCCGTCAAGCTTCTTGCGCATAGCTTGTAAAGTAGCACACGCTGCTACGGCCCATCGGCAAGCATGGGGCTGGAGGTCTTGCGGGACGCCGGGGACTCCTGCAGGTGTCGGGGGTTCGCCCTACGGCCGCCTTGCTCTCTGCCTTCTGATGGTGGGGTGGACGCATCCTGCATCACCGGGTGTCGGGCGCGAGACTCACAAACAGGTTGGACGCGGGGCTTTGGCCGTGCCGCATTTTGTTGGGCTTGTTCACAAGCAGCGTCAGCCCCAAACCCTTAACCCAATGAGGTTTAAGGGTTGTACATGACTTGGTTGTCGGAAATTCCTGATAATGCAAAACGATTGGTTTGGAATGGTATTTTGGGTCGACTTGAGTATTGTTACCAGCATGATCATCCTGGTGCCCATTTGGGCTGTCCGTTGTACTCCCCGTGGGTGTCGTGTTCCCCGTAGGTTTTGCGGCCCTCCAATGAGCCACGCCGAGAAGCTGGAGGAGCTGAATCGCAGGAGGATAGCGGAAGGGAAGCGCCCGCCCCCGAGACAAGGCATAAGCAAGCGCGTCGGCCTGACAAGCGCCAGAGGCGGCAGGCCCAAGCAGAGGCCTCTGCAACACCTAAGTACAAGCCTCCTCCGGAAAGAGGTTGGGCGGCCCATGAGTCCTGGGACATGGGGGCGCGCAGCTTTAGTTCCTACTGGGACTGGGGGTCGCATCAGGCCGTACACCAAAGAGGCAGCAGGGACAAAGACGCCTCCGCTGCCAGGATTGGAGCAGGGTACCACGGCTGCGCCCTCCCAAGGAGAGGTTCTGACCCACTCACCCTCCTCGGAGGTCCAAGGGGAAGACAAACCGCCGGGTTCGTCTGTACAACAAGCGCGCGCCGATGATTCCCAACAACCACCCTCCTCGGAGGTCAAAAAGGAGGTCAAAAAGGAGGCACCAAAGGCCAGTTTCCAAAACAACCAGGCTGCTCCGGAAGAGGAAGAAGAGGAGGTGAAGGTAGAGACTTCCCCAACAGACAGCAAGGAAATCGTAGAGATGGAACCAACCAGCGAGGAAGAGAAAGGAGGTAGTCCTAAACCCTCCTATTCGTACGAATCGTCTTCCTCGGACACGGAACTGAGGAGGTCCCACGATGTACCGAACACTTCCTGGAAAGCCATCCTCGGAGACGAGGTTCTGGAGATCAACTGCGAGCGTAAAGCAAGAAGCAAAACAGGCGCAACTGGATGGCGCAATGCTCCGACCACTTCTGGTGCCCTCAGCACCCAGAGGTTCAGTCCAAGTATCTGGGGCATGGAGGGACCAGGATGGTCATCTCCGCGCCACATTCACCAGATCTTATCTGCGAATTCCTCACCAGGGGCCTCCCACCATGGCCACGGGAGGGAAGTTGAGCTTAGCTCTTTCTACCAAGGGATTTTCCCGAGCCACAGCCGCAATGTGGGGAGAGGCCTAGTCAAAATCGCCGGCTGGGGCGAAGTGCACGTGAGCATCACGGAGTTTGAAAGGCTCCTACCCCCACCCTCCATCCCTACAGAGGAGGAGGTTCTACACATGGCTTGGATTCTGGGTACGGCGGCTCTGTACGGATTCACAGTGCGGGCTGCCAACCCCAAGAATTGGGGACTAAGACCGTGCAAATCCCCCTCGGATGCGCCCGAGTTTGTCATGTGTGACGTGGCAGGTTGGGAACCCTCAGACCGAGGTTGGACCCCGGACCGCGCGTGCCCGCAAAGGATCCGGGTCTATGGACAGCTCAGCGCAACAGCCAAAGGCCGCAAAGTCATAGCTGCCATGATGCGGCAGGAATGCTTGAGCTTTACCCCAGTCGGGGAGCCAGCGGTAGCTGCGCAGCTCAAGGGAACGCTCCAACCCTCCGACTGGAGGTTGCTCACCCTCCCCAGGGTAGATGGGGTGCGCGTCCTAAAGGAGGAAGGGACCGCGAATGCCAACGATCAAGGGGCCAATTAGTCTTGAGGCCCGACTCGACTCCAACAGGAGGGCCACCCACAAAACCCCCCCCCCAGCCGGGGTTTAAGAGTTCTGAGCCTTTAAGAGGCAGCAGCAGGCCCCTCCCCAGGAGGTTGGAGTAGCAGCAACAGTAGGCCCCCTCCTTGGGAGGTTGGAGTAAAAGCGCTCCTAAAAGGAGCCGTTTCACAACAGGTTTTCAGGATGGTACACCGAGCACCGCACCTTTCCAGGCAGGGCGCCACCATTTGGGTCCCCTGACCTTGACGGCCACAGGTGAATTCTACCATCCTGACAATGTAGGAGGCAGCTCGCCGCGCTCTTTTGTGAGCTCGCCCTCCTAGGAGGTTTGCGGACTCCCTTCGCAAACTGCATTGTTCGAGTAACGAAGAAAATGTGACCTTTTCTTGGTGTGCCTAGTTGTTCGCAGTGCAGGAGCTGTCTTACAGCTGCATGTCATGGCATGAGCATGTGTGAAGGTGCATGGCTTTGTTTTGGCATGGCGTGTATGTGTTTTGGCATGGAATGAAGTTTGGTTCGGTTCCCGAGGATGAGTGTTGTGAGCACTGACTTTGCTGTTATGCAGTGCGTGTTAAGCTCTGAGGGACAGACCTTATGCTTTTACTCACGCCGTGTGCTTGCCCACGTCGTTCGTACCGTTACGTGTGCGTTTGAGACTCGACTGAGGCATGGTGAGTGCATGCTGTTGTTTTGGAGACAGACTTGAAGTCCTGAAGCAATCCCCAAAAGGTTTTGCGTGTTCTTTTGCATTCCTCCTTTGTCTAGCAAAGATGAGACGGAATTCATAAAGCCTTGAGGCCCGAGCTCTTGGAGAGAGCTTTCTGCTGACATGGACAGTCATGCTGAACACTACGGTGTTTGGCTCAAGTGCGACTTGCGAAAAGGAACGGCACGAGTGCTCTGCTTTTCACATCAAGCGCAAGGTGGATGGTTCTAATGAGTCCTCAGCACGCAAACTGCCAGTGGCCGAGATTGGGGCAAGGTTGAACATCCTGGCCAAGAAGATCTCCCCGCTAAGATTGCAAGGAGGTTTGGAGCCGAGCCATGCCAAGCATACATCTTTTCACAGCCATGGCTGAGGAAGGAAGACTCAGGTATATTGAATGGTCCAAGATTACCACCAGGGATCAAGAAATCAATGGGGGAACTGAGGACCCCCTCTTGAAAGCGTGGAAGCCTGACAAGCAGGGCATCGTCAGGGAAGTGGCGCAGTCCCAACATATCCTAGCTGTCGCACCAATTGGGTGACGAAATTGACATCTTCTGTTTGACATGCATCCCCCACTTGTACGCTCCCACCTGGGGTCGTGCCCATCTGGCCTTCGGTTGAACGATATGGCACTCGTCATCCGCAGCTGTTTGGTCACATTCGGGGGGTTGGAGGAAGTTTCCAAAACCACTTTGTTTTTCTTCCGTGATGTAGGCTTATCGTGACCGGGGCCGGTCCTCGGCGCCCTGTAAGTATTCATGCTTTGGGAACCGGATGTTTGCCGCGTCTTCGTTTGTAAAGCAGCTGCCTCACACGACTGTCTGCCGATTGCGTTGCGTTGCTTCCACACACCATCCTGTGCTGCATCTGTGACAGCTTGCGCCCCACCGCTTGAAGGAACTGTACACTGTAAAGGGGAGACTGACCCAGTGTTACCACCTTGCTCTACGGATTGGAAAAACATTTTTTCTGTATCTCGATCTGCTCGACCCATCGTCTCCAAGAAGATGGGGTTGCAGGTCCGATGGGGTTGCAGGTCGATGCTTGTCCTGATAGTCACTCCTTTTTGTGATGCTCCACAAACGGATGCTTGCGGAAGCAACCTGGGAAGCAACCAACATGCCTGCCCCTTTCGCATTTCTCAATTTCACAGCCACCACTTTTGCAATGCCCCAGGTTGAAGGACCAACACAATGCATCACCATGGTCGTCCGAGGGGACTCCACCTCGAAGGCTCGCTGGCATATATATATATATATATGGGGCCCTTCTTAGCTCTCTTCCCAGTACCCGGAGGGTTTGGGAGCGGTGGTACCATGTTCTTGCCTTTCAAGCGTTGTAAGACCAGCTGCTCCACCGACCTCATTTCGAGCACCTCCGGCACGTGACGGTCCAACGGCAATGACTCATCTCGCCCATGAGAAAACCCTTCCCTGCAGAGTTCGCTGAGCCTGACATGGATCTCCCTGTCGCACATTGCCATTTGAGTGAGCGTCACCTTTGCGTAACCGTCCTGAGGCACCTTCTGGTATGCGTCGAATAGGAAGAGAACTATCGCTTCATGTACTTCAAATGACAGCGTAGCATATAGCCATTCGCCGGAGGACATTCTGGACGTCCAGGTCCGTGGCCGTCTCAGGGACGGGTCGGCTTCATGTTCCTATGCCCTCCTCGGCTGTCCGATTCATCCCATGGAATTCAAGGGGGTATCAGTGTTACCATTGAAGCTGTGTGCCGAGAGATCGTGCAAAGTCGGATACTCTTCTGCTTATGCACACCACAGGAACCACTCTCCGCATGGCGTCGAGAGTAATGGTGGGAGCCCACATGACACAAGTGGACCTTTGCATGTTCGGGTGCGAGCGCAAGAGAAGAGTAGTCCTCGTCCACAACACAACGTGGCCCTTTGCATAGTCGTGGGGTGGTGTGCGATGGTACCCATCGCCACAGTTGAAGCGCCTCCTGAAACCGATCCGCGGTGGTTGCCTGAGAAGTTGTCCTGGCTCCACACCTGGGACAAGCTCGGATGCCCCGCCAGCTGCCAAAATCGTTGGGTATCACTAGCAAAGGCGCAAGTAGATGGCCGTGGTCCCAGAGTTCAAAGCGGTCGTCCGAGCATATTGTCCAGAACAACAACGGCTCCTTCCTCGGAATGCTTTCCCATTGTCGGTTCATGTGGCAGTACGTCAAGCCATTCAACAGCAAGTGGGTAGTGACAGCATGGCTTGTATTCCGGGTGGGAACCAAGCGGCTGCGGATCCATCTGCAGCCTCAGTGTGATGAGAAAGGAGGACACCAGAGGGGAGGACACTGGTGTAGGGTTAGCCTCTTGCCTGCTAGTACAGCAGCCACTTCCGGGCGCATGCTTTTGTGGAGGGCTCTCTCATTTTCTCTCTGCACTCAGCTTCCAGTTGTAGCATCCTCTTCAGCTGGCAAGCCCTAAACCTTTTCACCTCCGCGATCTCCGACCTCGCTATCCAACGTATTTTGTCTGCCGCCTCTTCCTCGCAACCACAAGTCGTATCGCAGAGCTTGCTCTAGGAATTCTTGTTTGGACCATGGAGTTGCGAAGGCCCGCCCACTCACAAAATCTGCCCCGCAGCCCCTCTCCTTGTCTTTGGAAAGCTGCTGGAGTGGGCCAATGTGGAAGATGCGGGCGGAGAGATGTCCAGGGTTTCAGGATGCTGGGACACGTCGAGGCCTCGGGACAGTACCCGTGTACAAGCCTGCGGCCTTAATGGAAGAGGACCTTGAGATGCTCTCGCCTTGGCTCTGAGGAACAAAGTGGAGACGGGGTGCGACCTCATGCCGAAGCAGCGCGCCATCTGTGGAGTGAAGCTAAGCAGCAGGCGACAGATGGCTCAGGATGGTTATTGGGGCCTTATTCGGCTGGGGAGCTGGGTGAGATGTTCCCTACAAAGCCAGAGCTCCGAACAAAGACTCCCAAGCTGACAAAATCAAAAAAACTCCCCCGCTGTGCCACTTTGCTGCCATCCGAGCTGTGCTGGGGCTCTGTGGGCATTGCTGAAGGCGCCTCTGCAATGTAGCCTTCCCGGGCACGCTGCAGGATTGCAGCGCCCCGGGATTTTATTGTCGGTTATTTGCGAAACCCTTTTTATTGCACCAACTCAAACATGCGAGAACTCCAGTTCCTGTTTTTACACTGGCTCGAACTCGGCGTCTCGTCCTCATCATCATGAGCCTTCACTTTCGAGACACAAGTACGATGTGCCACGATCACGAGTGCTAGCTCGCAAAGAGTGGAAAACACAGGAGGCACACTGCAACCAATAACCAATGCAGCTTTGTTCCCTCAAACACTCGGCACCCAGTACCTCGTGTTAACTTCCCACATGACAGATGAGGTACGCTCGAGATCAGGCCATACAGCAAGCATTATGGACTCCCTTCATTTCAGGTTCATCCCAGTCTAACGCGCACCTGACATACTCCTTCCCATAGCTTTCAAATACCAATCTGGAAGCATATCGTCTGCCAGATTGGCTGTCGATGGTACCCTCGTGTACCGCGAAAGAGCGTTCAAAAGCCTGCATCCAAAGGAGAGCATCTCCATATATAGCATAGCAAACTCGAGGATGCCACCCGGGGAGGAGCCGGCCGCCAAAGCACCATCTCGCAGATTCGTTGTCAATGAATCATTTACGATCCTCCTTTCCTACCAAGATGTCTTTTCCACTCTAACCTTGGAAAAACAATCACCGGCAGGATCTCTGCTTGTCCCACCACTTGCTCTTTGCGGCCTCGTTGCCAGGTTTCGAGGATTCGTCGAGGGACTTCTTCACCACTTTTTTTGTTGCCGTCCACAGTGTCGATCAGAACAGCCCCATAAGTGACTAGCTCGCCCCTCTGCTTGCAGGCCCGATGCTCCACGAAAGCTACTTCTAGGAGTAGCGATGCTAATCTTGCTAGACATGCTAAAACACCTGGAGGAGCTTGTAACTGCAGTAGAAGTTGCGGCGATGTCAGGCGCTGCAATGGCAGTGGGAAACGGGAGTGTTGCAAAAAGTGACAGCGGCAGCAGCAGCAGTACTCGCGCAACAGTGAGCAAGTCATGGACAAACATCCACGGCGCGCGGTATTACTAATCTGACCCCAGCTCAGAAAAATTGTTTGGGAATCAGCGCCCGCAGCTTAGTTCCCAATGCAGACGCAGCACCATCCGTTCGAAACCTATCTTTCTTCGTCGCCCGCATGACCGCAGTCCCCTAGGGCTTTCAGGCTTGGGGGGGAGACGCCCGGAGATCCTCCTTCG